CCTTGATTAGATAAGTACGATCCCGCGGCTTCGCTTGCCGACAGCCGACAGCCGACACTGTCGTATTTAGCCATTAATCAGCGCGGATATGCGACATCATTAATTATTGTAAATGATAACGTACAAGGTATTCAATATGAATATGGAATTCATGCAATTATAAGTCCAATTTGTTGATAATAACTCAACAACAATGATAAAGGGAACAAACAAACAGATTGATTAACATATCGATGTTCATGTTTTCATGGTTTTTTCCAAGTCAAAATAAGCGATAACTAAAAAACATCAATATTTTTAATGAATGAAAGCACAAAGTTACATTATGTACTTCATATGACCTTACTCCGAGTGGGGGAGTGCAGTGCTAGTATGATTGCAAGGGAATGGGGGGGAGCAATGCTAGTATACCTTTGAGAGTATGAAGCGGTCTGCGGAGGGGTCGCGGGGCGCGGAGACCTTGTACCGCATGGTGTGGAAGAACAGCACTGACATGATCTCTGCCATCGACGCGCATGATGTCGGGTGCCTGCAACAACATACATAGTCATCCATACTTAGTCGATTATATTAAAAGAATAGCTACAGTTATATAGGATACTAGCTTATATCCGCGACTCTATCTGCGTGAAATAAGAAAAAAACCTATGTGTTCCTCCAGACTATGCTTCGAGAGCCGTTCCGCCGTTTAGGCGGCAAACTCTAATAAGAACTTTTGCGTTTATAATAATAGTAAGATTTTAAATAGAACTGCTTTCTAATTTGATTTACAGATACTGGCAGAGCTGGCTCACAAGTTTGGCTAAACATTTGCACAGCAGTTGTGCGATTGTCGAATGTTTCGCAGACAATTCAACTGTTTAGTCGCACAACTAACATCGTGAAGAATCGAAGCAGGTTGTTCATGAGAATTATCTATTAGAGTGGCCTAAAAAGTAATCACATCGGCTTACATAAAGATATACTGCATAATGTATTATCTAATACAACGAGAGCACTGTAATCTAGTATTCCGTTACGTCACTCGGCGCAGAACATTGACTGATTAATGCAATCAGTGATCGCAGATAATACGGTTTCAATCGGATTTTATTAATGAAGTAAAGTACAGATTTGGTAATAAAAGTCGATATTACATGACACTATGACTTAGTAAATCATTCCCGTATTCAATGAATCATGGAAATTTTAAAATAAAGCATGACATGTTACTTAGCAGTTTTTTATACTTGGGTATTTTAAACCTAGTATTTCTGAAGGTAATTCACGTAGTTGGATAGTAACAGAAATACATATCCAAACAAGTTTCTCTTGTTTATTCAATCAAGTTTAGTACAATACATATTCTTAGGCAGAGTATCATATGTCTAAGGTCAGTAGGGCACCTTACATAACCTACAATCTGTAGATAGTCTAGAATCTAGAAGAACGTCTTAGTAATATACGAAGTTTCTAATAATTTTCGATAGCAATGGCTTAAGATTTGAACATAAACATTTTACCATCAGAATCTAAATCAAAACACTACAATAAAAATTCAAAAGATTAAAGTTTCACATTATCAACAAAAGAAGTATTTTTTTAACATAACTTAATGTGTTCTTAATCTAAAAGTTAGCAGACGACCCTGTAATATACACAGTTATAATTAGTTAAGGAGACAGATTCCCAAGTATTTCATGAAAAATATTATTTTTGTCCAATGAGTTATATATTTCAGATTTTTTTTAACTGTAAGGGATAAACATGAATTAATACAGCAGTGTAAACATAACAATTAACATGTTATCTTATCCTAATAGAAACCAGTTTGATACAAAAGCTAGTTACTAGACACCTAACAAATATGGTCCGTTGCTTTTTCATAATGACAAACAAGTCTATCCAAACAATACACACAGTATCTACTTTCTATGTCACCTGAACTGGTTGGCAAGGTTTTGTATGACTGCTACTGACCGCATGCGACAAGACAATTCGCTGCGAGTACGACAGACAAATAATGTTTGCACTAACAAAAATAACAATGACCATAGGGTCATTTTACACAAATGTCAGTGCAGAAACAAACAAGGAATCTTAGAAGGCAATAAGGATATACCAAAAATTCCATCTAGAAATTATTTCACTAGTTTACACCCGCATGGAATTAAAAAGAAAACAAAAGAGAGAAGCATATGTATTCTTAGAGATTATCCTCCAAATCTTTGCCTAATTTCATTGAGATACATTCAGCAATTAAGCAACAAACTCTAACAAACATCCATCCATTCATATACTAATATTTTTTTAGTCACAAGTAAGATTTAATATAAATATATCCCGTACAATTGAATTTAGGCATCGGACAATATATACTCAAGATATTAAGTGTTACTACCTACCTAATAGTAACCTTTATATAGTTATTCTACAAAAAAGAAAAATAAGCAGAGGGGAGCATTCAGAAAAAACAGTAAAAAGTTTTCTTTAAGAAAAATAGCACTTTATGATGAATCCGATTTTATGTTAATAATACTTGCTTTAGCCCATAACTTTGTCTGTGCAGAATTTAAAAAAATACAAAGTAGACTACATTTTCTTCTTGTTCTACACCGGTGAAATTTCATTTAGTTCCATTAAGCCATTTTGTATATGTTTACTACAAACATCCATACATTCAAATTTTAGCATAGATATTAGTTATTATTATTTCTACATTGAATACCTCCTTAATACTTGTGTTTCCTTAGGGTACGGTAATATATTTTTGTATAGGTTCTTTAACAGTGGGGATAATATTAATATAACCAGAGGTAAATTACACCTAGTAGAAACAAAGTTTGTTATGAACTATATACAAGAAACTTCCTTCCTTATAAATATTGTTTGATACTTGTAACATGAACAACTAATGATTTACTGTTTAAAGCATTATGTTTGTTAACCAAAAAAACAGTTAGTATGAAAGGTATAAACAGCATACTATGTTTCGGTTCCAATAAATAAAAATACTGAGACAATTAAGAACTGTGCAAAGTCAGTCTTTATGATTAGTGTAATTTTGACAATTATTTGATTCAAGTGTTATTTATAAGAAATTCACAGAAAACGTTACAACAGCGACCCAAGTTGTGCATTCGGTTATTTTAATTACAAAATAGTTGACCTTAGTGCTCTAATGCATTATGCATCTTGACGCAAAACGTGATTTACCAATGATAATGAGGAAATTTAAGTTTTTCCAGTGGAGCTATCAATTCTAGTTCTAGGCAGTAGAAGAATTTTTTTACATCGAGGTTTCGAGCAGCGTGTAAAGTTCATTCGTGCAATGACTTACCATAACCTTCAAAGTTATTACTACAGAAAAATTACAGTCATGTTTAACATGTGAAATTACCCATTAAATTAATTTTAGATGCATGTTAAATAACAGCCATGCTCACTTCAACCTTCATTAGACCTTCATGAGTCTACAAACGATAACCTCAAATTACGTACGTACCCTGATTTGGAAGCATTTGTTGCGACGATGCTGTCGATTCTCAGTTTGTTAGCCATGTCCTTCAGCGCTTGGATGTCTACATTTTTGTCGCCCTTCATTTTGATTGAGGTTTTTAAAAATGCTAACTATTTATAAATACCACGTTAACACACGCCGCGGCCGGTCGCGTTACTCACTGGAAATTTTTACCGGCCGGCCGATTTAAACAGAAATGCTGAGTTGCGCTGAGTTGTGAATGAAGGTGGTTGTGCTTGTCTGTCAACGTCAAAATGACATTTCAAACTTCTTACATTCAAGAAAATCGATTTTTTTTTCAATCGATTTTTAATGCACAAGTTAGTCATTAAGAAATGAAGGAAGTTTTTGAATTTCACACGTCCGTCGCGTTGCTTCGTAAGAAAAGTATAATTTGTCTATATTATGTTATGACCGTTTTAAACACTTCTTATCAGAATTTTGTTAATTGTTTCTAACAGTTTGGCTGAACTTTTGTTGTATTCGGAATCCTAAAAATTAGGTAAAGGTTAGAAAATGGCCCTATCTATCGTCATAACACTGCTAAATTTTAACTAATTTATTTAATGTTTTAACATTAGCTCTACTATATTTGCTTTCACATTAATTACCAGTTTGTTGAGATTAAGAAGATGGTAAAATGATTGATTAGCTGGCCAGCAAACGAGGCAGGCGACCAGTGTTGCTGCCAGACGGTCGCTTTACAGCAAAAAGATAATTTACGAAGTTTGCCGAGTAAATACTTGCAGGCTTGCTTTTTTACTAAGCTTACTATTTAGTATATTATATATAGTATTTACATTTGTAATAATGACTAAACAAAAGTGACAAAATGTTTTTACAAATATAATGTGTTGGAAATTCATGTTGTATTAAATTCTACAACAACATACACGTACGTAATATCCAGGAGGATTTTCAACTACAATGTAAGTAAAAAGGTCCGATAAGAAACCATTTTCTTAAAATACAACGTACGGTCAAACATAAAATGTGTCTCGATCGTTGTTGTTGTGTCAACTCTGTAGAACGAAAAGGAAAATCATATTAGCAGATATAACTCTGTTGCGAAATGTACGTAATATCAGCAAACGACGCGATCAAACGCTCCCTGATATTGAATTGATAAGCACGAGGAGCTATCGCTCCTGGACGTGTCATACAGACGGACAAACTTGTAAGAAACCACGACACAGACGAAATTAAACCTTACAGTACTATGTGTAGATTCCTTTTTATTTTTCCGACTTTCTTGTATAAGGTTGTAAGGGATACGATAAAACGAGGGTGGCTATTGTAAATCGCGCTGACGAATCATAGTCGGACCTCCTTGCTTCACCTGACGCGGTCGCTGCAATGTGGACATAGCGTTATGATATTTATTTAATTCATATTTGTTTCTCTTTGCTTCAATCAAATCCTGCTTATTTTACGTTTATGCTATTTAAAAGATATGTCTTAAGTTAATAGATTTTTACCAATAGGTGTAGCTTTGGTTAAATTAATCAATTTAAACAAAATATATAATTTCAACATGAAAGTGTTTTCTGATTTATGTTTCATAAAATTTTTAACGCAAATTTGTGGCATGTTTAATATTTAGAACAAATGGAGAATATACGCAAATATTTTAAAGTTCAAATAATGTTAAGTAACATTTATGAAAAACAATCGAAAATTGTAAAATCGATTAGTCGTGTCCACCGAGTGCGTCGTTTGGCCGCACGCGTCCGTTGCCTTTGCCTTTGGTACGTCATAAAGGCGCGCCAACGACGCGGCTGGATGAGGCAAAAACAGCACAGGATAAATAAATATAAAAACAATAAAACTCTTGTATACGGCCCGGAAAATGGCTACGCCGCGCTGGGGGCAGTTAGGGTTACCATCATTTTATCGAATTTACTGATGATATTTCTAATCGATTTTCTGATACTGCGTTATTGATGACTATTAATTTAAGCAATAATTACAGTATCTTCAGGTTTCAAATACTTCCTTCAATGAAACAATGTAGTGATAGTCTTTTGTTATAAGCAAAATTTTCGTGCACTAGTATAGCTTTGGTCCCAGTAAAATAGAAGAGATGGACACTGGTCACTCTGGGGCGAGAGCCGGGGGGCGCGGATGTTCTGTTTTCAAATTGAATTGCGCGCTGTCCCGGGGCGGGGGCGGGGGTCGAGGCTGGGGGCGATCTTTCTCTTTGCGATTCCGAATTGAATATCAATTCGCTGGACTGACGGACGTAGAGCATGTGTGGATAAGACGAGCACTGATAAATTATGTTTAATTTATGAATTAAATAACGAAGAATTTTTAAAAGGTTTCTATATTGTACTCGTTTATTTAACTACTTAACTTTGTTTTGATAAAACGTTATAAACAAAGATTAGTGACTATAATAGAATAGTTGAAATTAATATGTTACTGCAGGTGTGTAATTTCAGTCATATCCACGCAAATGCCGCGGCATTCCCGCGTGCCGACATCTCACTGGCCGCTACGAAATTGTTAAAGACAAGAACTTCTTTTGCACGAGTCTTGTTTTGCAATTTAACGATGCTGGTGATGTTGTAAACTGCAATGTGTTCGTTTATTCGGCAAGCACCTGATCACAATTTATTGTAGAAGTTCGTTTTCATTTCCAAATTCTCAAATACAGTTAAAAATAAGAGAAAAAGACGTGAAATAAATGTCTAGTGGTTATAATAATATTTTAATCATTAAAATAACATGTTTTGGTAGTTAACATTGAACCATTTTGAGCCAGACGCTTTAATTAACAACATCGGACATTATCTAAGACTTCAATAAATAAATAAATTAAAATAATGAGTTAATTACTGGCAACACTGATT